ATGTCCAGAGACTATTTGACAATTGCAGGAGTAAACTAATTTATAGCATTTTTTTGGATATAATCAGCATAGCTGTACAAAAGGCAAATAATATGCATTGGGGGGAAAAATTGTTAAGCTGGTGAAAGGTGGTTGTTTGATGTCATGTGAAATGACACTGAAATTTATTGAATATACATTTTGACTGAGTGAAGAAAAATAATGATTTAATTCTGAAATAAAGATTGTTATTCACTTTTGTTGAAGTGTCAAAGAGAATGAAGATTTCTATTGCTATTGTTTCTGCTGAAGAGAGCAAAGGCCAAAGCTAGAAATATCCTTATATGGCAGTCTATCATTGTAAAGTGCAGATTTTATCAGTAAATGAAGCTCTTTCCAGTCTATTAAAATCCCAACACCTCCCAAAGAGCAATATGATATTTATAGCTGAAGATGAAGGGGTGGGTAGCGGGGTCCAGGGCGAGAGGAAAGGGTCTTCCTGAAACAATAAGTCAGGTTGTTTAGAGCAGTAGGGCCACCAACAGGCTGTGTGTGGGAGAACACTGCCAAATAATCTGCAGGTTTCCTCTTTTGGCCCGCAGACCCTTATCTTGAAACAGAGTTAGAGCTTCACTTTGCAATACATCTCCATGTAAATTAAAGCCAGCTGAATTTTCAGCAGCCATTACTCTTAAATGTCACATGATCTTTCAGATATAATTCTAATATGTTGATTTGGTGCTCAATTATCAATTATTATTCATAGTTTTTATTATTATTGCTGCTTAATATTTTTGAGGAAACCGTACTAAATTATTTTCAAGATTCTTTAATCAATAGAAAGTTCAAAAGAACAGCATTCATTTTATATAATCGTTTGAAACATTATAAATGTCTTTACAGTCACTTTTCATCAATGTAACGTGACTTCGCTTAATGTAAAACTATTCATTTCTTTTCTCTTCTTTACCCCAATCTGTGGTGAAAGTGAATGGTTGTATATCACAAAAAATTGTAACGTTTCTTGAACACCAAATCAGCATATTAGAATAATTTCTGAAGGATCATGTGACACTAAAAACTGGAGTAATGGCTGCTGAAAATTCAACTTTGCCATCACAGGAATAAATTATATTTTTAAATATATGAAAACAGAAAACAGTTATTTTAAATTGTAAGAATATTTCATAATATTACTGTTTTTTGTTGTATTTTTGATCAGTTTACTGCATTTATTTGACCAAAAATAAGTTATAAATTATTACAGTTTGAAATAACATTTCTATTTTATTTTATTTTAATATATTTTAAAATGTGATTTATTCCTAAAATGGCAAAGCTGAATTTTCAGCAGATTTTACACCAGTCTTTAGTGTCAATCTCTTGGATTACCCTTTTGCATGTGTTTTCTGCCTTGTTGCTTGTTTGGATTGTTGCCTGTGTATTGACCTGTTGCCTGTATTTTGGATTAAGTTTCTGGATTGTCCCAATAAAAGCTGCATTTGGATTTCCAAACTTTCAAGTCTAGGAACAGTACGTAACAGTGTGTTTATATACCGTATATACCATGTATACCCTATGGAGTATAAAGAGAATCACTAACAGGGCAAACAATCTGAAAGGAAGCTTTACCCATTGAACTCACGATTATTAATTCTGGAAGCCTCTTATTCAGAAACAATAACTTCCGACAGGCCACCTTAGTGGCTCCGACCTCCCCGTCCCCTATTCTTTTATGTAAGTTTCCTGTCTTGTGGCGCGCCACTGGACTTCAAACAAGGAGCCTGATCTGGCTCTCTTTCCATTCAGGAATCAAGACAGTCATTCTCTATTTACTATGCAGATCTCCCTCTTATTCTCTCACTCTCTCTCCTCATCTCTGCATCACCAGCTTCTGGCTGTCTTTGTTTACTAGTATAAAGGGGAGGCTTCCTCCCACACATAACCCCTGTCTTTTTTTAATCATCCCAATTTCAATGCCAGGGTCCAAGCCTCGGAGTCACTATGCCGAGACTCCCCCGCCCTCGCCCCCTCCCCAGCCATCACACATGTTCCACAGCACGTACCTTGTCTCTCTTTGCTCTCAGTTTGGCTCAAGCAGAGCAAACAGTAGTTTGATCAAACAAGGCAACAAATGATTTGGAAAGATTTAGAGCCATGACAACAAACATGGTGTCTGTAGGCAATACAGAACTTGTCTACGTGTGTGCAAACACCTTATTATTGTGGTGTTTACTAAAACAGAGGAAATAATATACAGCGATATCCAAACTGTTTTTCTAGTTTTGTGAGCTGCAGAGGCATAACATCTAACACAAAGAGTCTAAGCGATACAGAACTTGGGTGTGTGTGTGCGTAAACAACTTATAATTCTGATGAAACAGATGAAATATTATTCAGTGATTGTGTCTAATATCTCCTGCAAACAGGTAAAGATATTAGAAGTAAATATAGAGAGATAGATATTAAAAGTAAAACAGCAAAGAGGTTTGTGGTGATTATATTTTATAAACAAGAAACAAATATATCAGCAGAAGCATTTAAGCAGAGAGATTTTTTTTATTGATTATCCTTAGAACTGAAAGGAGTTGGGCCTCATGAGTACATGTATACTTGGAAATAAATACATTGTACAACTGTTGCCCAAACAACCTCTATTCTGTCATCCTTCAACAAACAGACCTGCCTGAAAAAGCACGTGAAGTATACAACTGCACGTGAAAAATTTAACTTACTCAAGACTCACTACTGAAACTGACACGTAATTCAGCCACAGCAAAGAGGTTTGTGGTGATTATATTTTATAAACAAGAAACAAATATATCTGCAGAAGCATTTAAGCAGAGATTTTTTTTATTGATTATCCTTAGAACTGAAAGGAGTTGGGCCTCATGAGTACATGTATACTTGGAAATAAATACATTGTACAACTGTTGCCCAAACAACCTCTATTCTGTCATCCTTCAACAAACAGACCTGCCTGAAAAAGCACGTGAAGTATACAACTGCACGTGAAAAATTTAACTTACTCAAGACTCACTACTGAAACTGACACGTAATTCAGCCTAGTATTTTTGGCTGTAAGTATTCTGGACAAAAAAAAAAGCCACACAAGTAAGCTTTGTGCCAAATTATGACAAAACCCATAGAGATTCTCTCTTGTGAATGCCCTCTAGAGATGTACAGATAATTTGTATTGATCCCTGAGGGTAAATTCAGCAGCTTTGAACTCCGTACACTCTTTGCCTTCTCAGTGACCCAGTATGTTTTCCTGGATAGACTCACTTTACCTTCCTGGATTACACTATTCTGTGCCAATTACATTTAAACACATTTGACATGTAATATTCCTAATGCTTTTTGTCAATTTACCAGACAATATAAAGTAGTTCTGGTACATTTTCTCCTTGATTTTAGATTACACTTCAAGAGCCTGGTAAGAGTTATTCAAAGGCTATACAAAGTTCATCCATTAGTTCAACTCCAAATGGTATCCGGAACAATTTCCAGAGATTCACAATTTGGTCTACAAATAAAGTTCACTCTTAAATATCAAGGTTTTAAAAATGGTTTTTCACAGCGATGCCATAAAAGAACCATTTTGGGTTCCCCAAAAAAACTTTCATTGAATAGTTCTTTAAAAAAAAAATTCTTAGTGTAAGGAACATTTTAATTATCCAAAGAACCTTTTATGGAATGGAAAGTTTCCATGAATGTTAAAGGGTCTTCATGGAACCATAGATGCAGACAAAGAACCTTTATGTTCCTCTAGTATTCGTGGAGAGTAATGAAAGTAAACAGATTTCACGCTTCATAGTGGAGGGTGACGTTTAAGTTCCCCTACTTAATTAATATAAATATAAGAAATAAGGGTGGGTGTGGTGGGGAGATGCTGCTTATAAAGTGACAGATATATCCTTAAGATGTGAATGACAGGATTAGATGAACCAAACGTATAACATAACTTATAACTTAATTTTAAAGTGGCAAAATAACCTCTAAATGTTGTTTTTACCTGAAATGTACCTATTTATACTACTTGTTTTTTTAACATCTGTGTGGATAGTTCCCCTGGAGCATCTTGGATGGTTGCAAAACTGAAGTCTAAGTCATTCGTTTGACTTACCTCGTTGGCTTAAGATCTCCAAGGTGCTAGGTTACCACTGGCATACAATCTATATTCAAACTGCATATATGTAAACAGGACCTATAATTCTTGCACATTTAAAGGTTTGCTGAATGAATATGAAGAACTGCTTCCAACCTGGGGTACTAGCAAGCATACAGGGATGCATAGTTGTATTGTTTCATTTCTTTGTGTTACCACCCTTGTCTGGAAGTATACAGTGGAAAATGCAGTTAAAGGATCATTGTAAATTGCCTTGAGAGGAAGCCGTGCTAACTTTTTTTGGTGCGCTATTTACTTTGAGAAAACAGATATTATGTGAGTAACAATGAAACACTAGTCCCTTCCAAAACAGGAAGTTGATCTGATAACTATCACGAGACTGTAATATTTTATTTTTATTTTCAAAGTCATGGATTGAAAATAAATAAATAAATAAGCATTACGGAACCGATGAGTGCTGACAATACCTTAAAAGCTTCGGTTGCAATTAACGGGCAATAGACGGAGCTATGGACGAAACGGAGAGGATCCTGTGAGGACTAGATTCTGAGATGCAGATAACCAGTGAGTAAATTAAACGGCCTCAGCCTTTTTATCCCGCCTGAGGTTTAACATTTTGTAGCTGTTTCAAGGGTGACAAGTCCATTCTCCACCTCTTTCTGAACATTGATGAGAGAGGTCCACCTTTTCTCCTTAGTCGCGGTGCGCTTTCGTGGAGTGAGGGGGAATTTACATTCATAGAAAGCTTGCCAATAGGGTGCTGCAAAGCCGAACGGATCGCAGTATGTGCCTCATGGGAAGGAACGGTGTCATTGTATTTGATCGCGTGTGCGTCCCACAGAGTACTTGGAAGCAGCCTATCCATGTCTTTAGTGCCACCAGTTCAGCTGTCCTTGCGCGATATTTGTCATATTTAATCATGTGTTTGAAAAATGCCAAGTTGTTTTGCGAATGTTTCACGGTTCAGGTAAGATAATTACGCTTTTATAAAATTGATTCTTACTGTCTTAACGTGTATTTAGCAACACAAGTGGAAAACTGTGTTTTTGTTGTTTTGTCGAGTAAAATTCGTGCAGTGAAAAGCAAGCAATACGTTAAACGTTTACTAACTTGGGACGAGAGACAAAATGCAAATTGCCACAAATCATATTATTTTGACACTACGAAAGTGAACATGACATAGGCTACGCGAAAGTGTTTTGGGGCAATTTATCTCTGCAATTATAATAGTGCATTTAGAAATCAAAACTAATAAATTAATTTAAAACTCTGATTCCCATAGTGATCAATCACATCACTTTTTATTATTATTTTTTAAATCAGAAAACAAAGGTATTATTCACATAGAAAGTCAGGGGGATTATTTTGAGCTCTCGGCATTACTAACTTGCAATCAGAGGCGGACAAAGTACTCAACTCCATTACTTGAGTGAAAGTACAGAGACTGCTTGTCAAATATTACTCCATTACAAGTAAAAGTTGTAAAGACAGATTTTTACTTAAGTAAAAGTACAGAATTTTTTTTAATGTATTTGTTTATTTGCTTTTCAGATGCTTCTTATATAAATCTTGTTCTTTTTTCCAGGTCATAATGCTGGTATGACTGTTTTTTTTTGATGATCTTATTTATTGGCTTGTTTACCTAGTTTTTTACAGTCATTGATTTATTTGTCTTGACAGAGAATGCAATCAAATGGCTATTTACAGCATGCACATCATAAAAATCGATCCCATTTACAAATAAAGACATGTAGAGCAAGAAGCAACAGAGTGACACTTAATCTGGAAGTCATAAAGTATTAAGGCCCATTCATACTTTTGCAACTGGTCAGTGTTCAAAAATGCAGGGAAATCACTTAATGTAGCCTTACAAGTGTGATTACTGATAAACTGTCTGAAAAAAAGAAAGTCACGTTTTAGAGAAGAAGAAATCACCTACTGACTTTCAAAGCTGCTGCATAGTAACGACTTTCTACTTCGAGGACCTTGATAGAAATGTAGTGGAGTGAAAAGTACAATATTTGTCTTTCAAATGTAGTGAAGTTAAAGTCATAAGTTCCCAGAAAAAATAATACTCAAGTAAAGTACAGATACTCAAAAAGTGTACTTAAGTACAATACTCAAGTAAATGTACTTAGTTACTGTCCGCCTCTGCTTGCAATCTATTTGTGTTGGACTTTCCCATGCATGACCTGGCATCTTTATTAAGCATGAGTTTTACATTACTGTACTGAGAGCTGACTCACTGTAAAATTGCTGCGTCATCGAAAGTTGACAATGGACTAGTAAATTCTGTTCTGAAAATGAGACAGTGACTTTGCAGAAAGTAAAAAAAACTCAAACGCAGATCATGGGATAATCACAAATGACTTCTCCAGAGATTTTTCCTGTAAGAAAAAAATAATGCTATGAGAATTATTGTAGATCAGATTTAATTGTAGTTTCCTGTTGAGCTTTGTTGTGTTAAAGCTTCAGTGAATTCCTATAGCCAAAATACACTTATTGCTGTTTTAATGATGTAGTGTATATGTTCACATTCAAATTATACATGCTGAAATGTATCAAATTTATACTTTCAGAGTCAAAGTCCTTGGTTTTATAGAAGGTTAGACTTGCCTCTGTGACAGTGCTCTCTCTTACAAGGCAAAAAATAGACACTAGTTGTTGGCATTTAATGTTGGCACTTTCTCTGTTACCTTTAACATTGGCTAAGATCCTAACTTCAAGCCCTTAAACTCATAGACACTCAATGTAGTTGGCTGTTCCCTCTGCTGGAGAGTAAGGCATGGGATATAGTCTCTCCCCCTCTTCCTATCATTTACTCATTCAGAGGGGTAAGGTCAAGTGTATGTGTTTGTGCAAGGTTATGTAGAGTTAGCACATGCTTCATTGAATGACTTTGAGGTTGATTCTCTTAAAATCAACATACTGCCTCAAGACTGTTTGAATCTGAGACCCTGCAAGTGAATAATTACGTTTATTGTCTTTTCATTGCCTAATGATCACAAATGACTTCTCCAGAGATTTTTCCTGTAAGAAAAAAATAATGCTATGAGAATTATTGTAGATCAGGTTTAATTGTAGTTTCCTGTTGAGCTTTGTTGTGTTAAAGCTTCAGTGAATTCCTATAGCCAAAATACACTTATTGCTGTTTTAATGATGTAGTGTATATGTTCACATTCAAATTATACATGCTGAAATGTATCAAATTTATACTTTCAGAGTCAAAGTCCTTGGTTTTATAGAAGGTTAGACTTGCCTCTGTGACAGTGCTCTCTCTTACAAGGCAAAAAATAGACACTAGTTGTTGGCATTTAATGTTGGCACTTTCTCTGTTACCTTTAACATTGGCTAAGATCCTAACTTCAAGCCCTTAAACTCATAGACACTCAATGTAGTTGGCTGTTCCCTCTGCTGGAGAGTAAGGCATGGGATATAGTCTCTCCCCCTCTTCCTATCATTTACTCATTCAGAGGGGTAAGGTCAAGTGTATGTGTTTGTGCAAGGTTATGTAGAGTTAGCACATGCTTCATTGAATGACTTTGAGGTTGATTCTCTTAAAATCAACATACTGCCTCAAGACTGTTTGAATCTGAGACCCTGCAAGTGAATAATTACGTTTATTGTCTTTTCATTGCCTAATTGTTGTAATTCAAGAAGTATGAAAACATAATCAACTTCAGTTCTTTTATCGTCTAAAAGTCTTTAGTATATAGATTAAGAAAATAAATAACATTTTAACTGAGCAAGAGTACATACAATTGATCAAAAGTGACAGTAACGACTTCTTACATTGTTGCAGAAATTTTCAATTTCACAAAAATTTATATTTGTGTTACACGAAATATCCTGGAAAAAATGTATCACAATCTATACAAAAATATTATTAGCACAGCTGTTTTTAAACTGTGATAATAATAAGAAACGCACTAAATCAGCGTTTTTACAATGATGTTTGAAGGATCATGTGACACTGAAGACTGGTGTAATGGCTACTGAAAATTAAACTATAAAATTAAACTGAATTTTTTTTGCTATAGTTTCAATCAAATAAATGCAGTCTTGGTGAGCATTAAAGACTTCTTTCAACAAAAAAAAAATCGAATTGATGCCCAAACTTTTGAACGGAAGTATAACTACAACAAATGTATCTATGGGTGAAGGTAACAGCATCCATGCATGGTGGTCTCTAAGTGACCTTGTAGTAGCTGGGTCACTGTAACTGAATGAGAGATGGAGGGCTGCCTAAAATAAATAGAGCTCTATGCTCATATTTTTAAGTGTAGGAGGCCACACTTAATTACATTTTGTGTCTTGGTCAAAAAAAATATAGGTCTAGTTCCTGGAAAAGCTGTTAGAGATGGTCTGATTACATGGTGGACGTGCATTCTGTAGCATTCAGACAGTTTTTGATTTTTCATTGGGTCATGGTGTCAACAGAACTTCTGTTGCCTTCGTGACAAGACACCACTCTTTGCCAAGAAGTAAAGGGATTTGTCAAGCTGAGGCCAAAAGAGGAATCACATCCTTTCTTATCTCAAAGTCTGAAGAAAATTCTGATCATTGATGTTCTACTCTAAATTTTGACCCAACCTGGAGTTCTTCATAACATGTGCTCAACATCAGAGCATCTCCAGAGGGTACATCTGCTTTGATAATAGTCCTATTTGCGTCATCATAGCCTGCTAAAGCTGAAAGACGGCATTCAAAATTTTCCAACAAGAAGTAAATGCTAGAATATCACATGACTAGTTACATAGGATGAATACTTATCACGCAGTACTTATCTGCCCTAAAGTACACCAGCAGTACAGATGTAGAACCTCCTGGCTTAGGAAGCAATAGGAAAAGATTAGAATTACCATTTGTTGCCACTGCAAATATGTATTTTTATTGTTTCCTTTTTGCTTGAACTCCGACGTTAGGTTTCACACAGTCTGACACGCATGTGATAGAGGATTAGATGGTGCAGACCAGACATACACAAACACTCTTTCTGTGTAATCTGTCTCTTTATTCCAGAAAGACAGAAGATTCAGCATTGTGTGGGTGTGTCTCCATTGTTTCGTGTGTTGTCTTTTTCTTAATGAATAGAAACTTTAAACCGCATAAACACATTTCATTACACCAAATACACAAAATAATGTTCTTTTTAGCAGCATCATATGACCCCTTTAAAATATGTTGTTGACCAGTCGCTTGTGTTTTTCCTCATTTGTAAGTTTTGAATAAAAGCCTTTTCTAAATCCATAGATGTAATGAAGTAAATGTCAGTAAACTGCAAACAATAAATTAGACTGTATTTTACACAGTTATGGATATATACACTAAGTGGCGTTATGTATTGTATTCAGTGAGTATATACACCTGTAGTTATTTAATAATGTCAAACTAATATTAAATCCATTACAACCCATGTTATTAAACATACAGCATAGTTAACCTTTAATCACACTAACTTAATATTTGTTAATTTATTACAATTCAAAGTAATTTTACTGGTTTTATTAATTCAACTTTAAATGTTTAATATTAAACTATTTTATGCATGATACTGTAAATTACGCTCACCTTTTAATTTGTATGATATTGTTAATATTTGTTTCTCTTATATTTGCTCTCCTGGTACAGTTTTGCTTTTTCTGCCTATTATATTAAGAGTCTTGAAGTCACTGCTGGTGTCCGTATAACAATGACTATGGCAGGAAGGGGATTTAGAGAGTGGGTTGTATTAAATCTGACAGCCTGTGGAAAGAAACTGTTCAGGATTCTGGTTGTTCTGGCTAGTGCTGCTAGTCTTTGTTAGATAGCAGAAGTGTAAAACTGGTGTTTAGTTTTTAATCTCATCCAAAGATTGAGTTGGTTTTAAACTGATCTTCATTTGTTCTGTGTCTGCCAGGACTCTTTGCCTTACTGCTGATGGTGCTGGAGTGGACCCATCCAGGCCTGTCCTCCCCATTACGCCCCATCTGCGACCTGCGCGTCCTAGACCATTTCATTAAGGAGGCATGGGATGCAGAAGCTGCTTTGGTGAGTGACATGCACATGATGGCTGAAGCTGTGATTTTATAAACACTTTTAATTGGAATACTAAGGCCTTCAGTTTCTTGAATTTCATCTATGCAATTGCAAACATCTTTGCAATGTCAGGTTAAAGATGACACGTGTTCTTCTCATGTGCTAGATAATGTCCTGTGTGAACAACCCCTGAAATAATTCTCACTGAACATCACATGACTCTGAACTGAATTCAGCAGTGACAATTGTCTTCTGCTTTATAGCTGATTTGAATTTGTTTCATAATCGATACTGTTATTGAAATTAATTGAATCAACACTGACCTGACTTGAGATGAATAATGACACTGCTGCTTCTGTAGAGCTGTTTATAGATGAATTAAGCTTGTTTCATAATTTAATGAAGCAATACTGAACTAAAGTGAGCTGAATAATTATACTATTGTCTTTTTAGAGCTACTTTACAGCTGAAATTGTATTTCATTTCATTGATTCACTGATATCATATTTCATTTTTGAAGAAGTTTGCAACATTAATACTGTTAGTTTCTTGTGTCATACTATGAAGCTGCTTTGAATCTCTATTGTGTATAGTGCTATATTAATAAATCTGACTTGAATTTTTCTGCAATCACAGAGAGCTTGTAAGGATGCTTGCAGCGTTGCAACAAACTTCACTGTTCCCCTGACCAGAGTAGATTATGATGTCTGGGAAGCGATGAATGTAAGTTTTCCTGCATATTCCTGTTGTAAAGTTTATAATATAATATAGACGGTACCCAAATTAATACCACATGTTTAACACATTTAGTATGAACATTCCTTTATGAATATATTCTTTGTGTCACTTCAGATAGAGGAGCGAGCTCAAGAGGTCCAGTCAGGCATACATGTGCTGAACGAGGCCATCAGCTCACTACAGGCATCTAATCAGACTGATGTGCTACAGTCCCACATAGATGCCAGTATTAGCAACATTGCCAGCATCAGACAAGTGCTGCGAAGTCTCAGCATACCGGTGAGTTACACAGGTCCCTTGGGGAACGTTTCAAATAATATTTCAACATACAAATTGCCGTTCAAAAGTTTGGGACCTGTGAGGTTTTTAAAAGTCTTTATAGAAGTATTTTATGCTCACCAGGGCTGCATTTATTTGATCAAAAATATAATAAAAAGTCATAATAATAAATGTTATTACAGTTTAATATAACAGTTTATTTTAATATGTTATTTATTCCTGTGATGGCAAAGCTGAATTTCTAGCAGTTATTTCTCCAGTCTTCAGTGTCACATGATCCTTCAGAATCATTCTCGTATGCTGATTTGCTGCTCAAGTAACATTTATCGATGTTGAAAACAGTGGAAACCGTGATTTTTCTTCTAGTTTCCTTGTTGAAAAAAAGTTACACACAACAACAATTACTTTGACAATTACTTGAAATAGATGTCTTTTGAAAAAAAATTAATGTGTCCTTGCTGAATAAAATTTAATTTCAAAACAACAAATTCTTACTGACCAAACTTTTTAACCGTAGTGTAAATTGTGAAATTATATTATTCATTAGCATAATGTTAAGAAAATACACTTAGAACTGAATTAATATGAATTTGGCAGACCCTTTTATCCAAAGCAATTGTACACTCAAGCTGTTCATTACATTCAGTATACTGTACATACTGTCACGTAATGTCCAAGGAATACAAATTAATAAATAACTCACTCAAGACAGTTGTGTATAACACAAACAATACCAGACAAAATCAAGAGTGAGACAGAGCAACATAAATACAAGGCAAATGAGGAAACTAATGAATAACACCTTTGATGATTAAATGAATTTCCATGACAACAAAAGAGTGGCAGGAAAACTGAATAAAAGGAAGACAGAAAACTAGAGAAAACAAACTAAAAGTCCATGAAGAATCTAAAAGAACATAATTGTGACAGTACACCCCCTCTGGCAAGGCGTGACCTCGCGTTGTAACAAATGAGAAGAGGGTTTTGGAGGGGGTTTTAGAGTTGGACGAGGATGTGGTGGAGGGCTGGTGATAGCCTGGAGAACAAAGGAGACTGGCCTGATGATGGGCAGAGCAGTGACCGGTGGCAGACGACGACGACAAGACCCCTGCGGCTAAGATGGAGAATGCCTACTGCCCAGGACCCAGAGAGATGCAGGTGTATCAGCCCCCAGCGGAGTGAGAGGGAGGAGCCATGGTGGAGGTAAGGCTGATGACAGCAGGGGGCCGACTGATGAAGAAGAGGCCAATGGAAGAGGAGCCCAGGGCGGAGACGGAGCCGAAGAGCCAGGGTGACTCCATGGGTCCGGAGGGCCAAGGCAGAGTCGACGGCTCCCGTGACTGAGGCGGAGGCAGGGATCTGGAAGACCACAGCGGAGCTGGAGCGACTGTGGACCCATGAGGATCTGTAGGGAAGGAGGAGCCCGACGGAGCCAGAGGGATGGAGGGACGAGGCGAAGCCAGAGGAATGGAATCCCATAACAAAGGAGGGTCGACGACTAACTAAGGTGAAGCCAGAAGGACGAGGGAACCCGGTGAAGCCAGTGAGATGATGGGCCATGGTGGAGATGAGGAAGCAAGGATCCAAGGTGGAGCTGATGGGTCGAAGGGCCGAGGTGGAGTCCAGGAGTCGAAGGCTGGAGTTGGAGACAGGGGATCCTCACGCCGAGGCAGAGCTGGAGAATGAAGCCCCGAGGCGAAACAAGGCTCCAGGATGGTGCTGACTGAGGGTGAGCTAAGGTGCTTACAGGAACCAGCGGAGACAGGGCAGCAGAACCGGCAGAAATATAGAGATGAGGTGATAGAGGAAGGCTGGAAGGGAACACAGGAGACTCCATACTCCACTAATACTCCCTCCGGCACGTGCAGTGTTGTAGGCTCACACACCTGGTCAGACTCTGGTTAATCAGTTCAGGCTTCAGGGCGATGACAGGCTCAGTCGCTTCTTCTCACGCTGGCTCTTCAGTCGCGGTGGGCTCTGGCAGATGCTCCATGCAGCGTGTTGATGGTTGGCTGGGCTGTGGGACTGGCGGTGCTCTGGATCAGGGAAAGATGCTCTCCAGACACCTAATGACGGGCTCCTTCCAGTCAAGTCCTGTTGTGTCTGGAAGGTCTACGGGATAATGGTAATTCATCCCAATCCAAAGCAGTCTGATATTCTGTCACAATGTCCAAGGAAGACGAAGATGAATATAAAGCAATACAAAGTTTAATAAATTACTCAGAAGATCAGCCACATGCAAGACAGTTGTGTATAATGCCGGGTTCAGGCTACACAAAATTTTTGTCGGTCACGATAGTCACTGTGTCAGATTATACGATTTTGACTACTAAAATCTTGTCGTGTCGTGGACATGAAACATGTCAGACTACACATTGCTTCCCGACCATTCATCGTTAAAGCCCGTCGTTAAAGACGGCATGCGTGATGTCATCGAGAAGGCGGAACTAGCGACTGACTTCTGAAAACAAGAATGTAAACATTGCTGAAGCGCTTCCACTATAGTTTGCCAGCATTTTTCTTTCTTTGTTCTGTCGTGGTAGTCCCTCGATGACACATCATACAGGCAGGAGTACTGTTGCCACAGCTCCACGAACCTTTCCTCCATCTCATAATTCCACCTAGCAGCACCATCATCTCTCTTGCGTTTTGCCATGTTTGAAACCCGTGTATGAAAGGGCTTCTGTGCTGCTATTGGTCAACGTCACCAATGTGACAGAACTCGTCGTGGACGACGGGAAAAAAATTAAACATGCTAGTCTTTCTGTCGTGGAATCGGTTGTCGTCCACTATGACACACTACACATGCAGAAACGATGGAATCTTGCGTCCCGACACCCATTGTCGTTTACGAATCCCCACGACACTCTACGTCAAGCAAATTGTGGCAAAAACGGGCTAAAATCGTGACAACTAAAGAGTGGCGGGAAAACTGAACAAGGAAGATAGGAACCTAGAGAAAAACTAAAAGTCCACGATGATGAAACTAAAAGAACATTTTGACACATACATTACATCAGCTAATCTGTTGTCTGGGAATCAAATCCCGTGACCTTGGCATTGCTAGCGTCATGTTCAACCACTCAAGCTACAGGAACAGGAAAATGGATGTTATGCTAATCAAGAGCAGTATGCTACAAACTTATGTCAACTTCAGGAAGACAACATGTTTGTCACTTTATGGTGATTGTGTAATTGTGTCGTAGTGCTAAAACAAACAGCGGCTATGAGACTACATTCTTTAAAAAATAGGGTCCAATATACAGTGCCAATATGAAGGAATTTTCTTTATTGAGTTTTCACAGGTGTTTTTGCCATATTTTGAAATGATGCATTGTATTGTATTATGTTTAAGGGTTAAAGGAATAGTTTACTCAAAAATGAAAATTTGCTGAAAATGTACTCACCCTCAGCCCATCCAAGATATCAATGACTTTGTTTCTTCATTGGAACAGATTTGGAAAAATGTAGCTTTGCATCACTTGCTCACCAATGGATCCTCTGCAGTGAATGTGTGTCATCAGAATGAGAGTTCAAACAAATGATCACAATAATCCACGAGTAATCATCAATTAACAATTTAATGAAAAAAAGTGGAAAGCAACAAATCCAGTGTTTTAAGCATAATCCATAATAAGGCTTCCTCCAGTGAAAATGTCCATCCTCTGTTGTCCTCTCACATCAAAATGCACCAACATATTTGTTTAGAACGTTTTGGACTGTTTTCACTTGTAAACTGTATTTGATCTGTGCATATTTCTCTCCTGATTCAAACGTGATGACTTTTTGACCCGAGAAAGCAATATTATAGATAGATGACTCGTATTTTAGCTGGAAGCAATGGTTTGAAGTTAAAAACTTAAATCTTAATAAAGAATTATGTATTTAAGTTTATTACAAAACATTCACACAAGACATTCATTGGTGGACTGGATTACTTGTGGATTATTGTGATGTTTTTATCAGCTTTTTGAATTCATTCTGACGGCACCCATTCACTGCAGAGGATCCATTGGTGAGCAAGTGATGGAATGCTAAATTTCTCCAAATCTGTTCTGATGAAGAAACAAACTCATTTACATCTTGGATGGTCTGAGGGTGAGTACATATTCAGCAAATTTTCATTTTTAAAATGAAAGGAAATGCCCTGAAACTTAATGGAAAATGTTCCAGCATAAAAGTACAAGTACTTTTTCTGTTTTTCTACAGATTTTTTTCTTACAGCCAATACAAATGTAAAAGCATGAATTATGTGCGTCTAAAACATAAAGCTGTTACAGACTATTAGTTGCACTGCATATTTACTCTTTAACTAATTTACCTGTCTCTCAGGAATATGTACCTCCAACCAGTGGTGGAGAAGACAAAGAGATGCAGAAAGTATTCTCAATCTCAGAGCTGTTTCAGGTCCACATCAACTTCCTGCGGGGAAAAGTACGTCTTCTGCTCGCCAATGCACCTGTCTGCCATCAAGGTGTCAGCTGATAGACAATTCTGGGCAAGGGCCAAACTAATTGGAGCTCCTCATATCAGGAGGCAGGATATGGCCTATTACAAAGGATATGTCGCCGAAGTTTGAATGTCTGGGAGTCATAGCACTTTGAAAGATTTACTCACAAAGGGAAAAGAAGACATCCTCTCAGAATGCTAAGCGCCTCCTATGGCTGTCTACTCTCTGTGTGTTGAGCATTTGCAAACTCATCTGCGTTACCTGGCTAAATCAACCAGATGCGAACATCTCCTCTTACCCAGTATGACTGATGGCACTTGCCCAGCTCAACTGGGAAGGTTTATCTGGGATTCTTTAAAATTGTTTTGTATTGCTTATGAAATTGTCATTATTTATATAGATGATATATTTCTTAGAGCTGGCATCACTGGCTTTTGCAGATTCTTTTCTGAAGCTGTTCAAGTGAAGACCTCTCTTCGGCCTCAAGCAGCTCCAAACTTTGAAATGTTGATAGAGAAAACTATTTATCAATATTAATTATGCACTGTAGGTTTTATATTCATTTCAGTGTTAAGTGTATGTGTGTGACTTTTGTGAATGCTGCAGGGAATGTTTCAAGCATCAGGGGAGGAAGGTTGTAATGCTGGATTCTTACGGGTCAGTTGGGGTGAACGGGAAGCAGGACTAGATTGCTGCTTGCGTCTGGGGAATTGGAAGCTTTCGTGAGACCTGATGAGGCTGTGTTAGCTCATGTCTGAATTACGCGGTCTTGTCCAGATAACGCCGCTGCCAGGAAAAATATTGATTAGTGTGTGTAATTACGAACATCCTGGCCTGCTTCCACTTCACGCACGATGCTGCATATTTGCCTATGGGTAATGATTGTAAGGTTGACATCTTGTTTCTCTTTTTCTGTGTAACTTGTTTGTGTTTTTCGTAAATAGACTGACAGATGTAAAAAAAACAGGCTCTGTCTAGATACAACAAAGTATGTTTGTAGATGTTTATTTCCTGTTATTTTGCCGTTGTGTGGTTCTTTCATCACATTGTCATTTGGTATTCAAATACAAAGTATTATTCTTAGCTAAAAAAAAATAGAACTGTAAAAACAAGGAGAGAGGAAGTTTTTCTTCTTGTCTTATGAAGCATCTCTGCTGAGAATGTCAATACACTGCTCACAATTCTGTAAATACATGCGATTCCAATGTGAATTTTCGAAGAATTAGATGTGAAAACAAGTACTTTTTTTAGATATGAGAGAGAGAACTAGGCATACATCATGCCTAAGGCTTAACCGGATTATAAAATAAGTACTGCATTTTTGTCACGTTTCCACTGAAGGAATTTAGTCACACCACTAAATATTTTTGAACACTCCTTTGTGTCATTCCTTTTCACCATACTTACCACCAATATTTCTGTTCTTTTAGTTTGGTCAAGAATGGCTGGACAAACATTTCGATCCAGTTTACTTATTGAAAGAAGATCTGATTTATTACTGATCAGCCATCAGACGTCAACCCTCTGACAAACCAGGCTCCTCTTTGAGTAATATTTAAGATTAGCTGTTCATCCCAACCTTGCTAACATGCCATCTCCATTTCCCACACGTTAGGTAATATATATTGCAATTATTATGACATTTGTGCCCCATGTTATAGCCACAGACTTGAGATCAGCGATATGCAGTTTAGCAGGTGAAAGCAGACCCTTGTCAAATCTGTCATTATTACCCAAGTAGTTAACAGAGGTATTATTTTTATTCTTAAATTATATTAATGTTAAATATATTTATAATCATATAATTTAATGTTTATTAAAGCATTTACTATTATTATTACTATGAAATAAAATAAATTATCCTTAAAATAGGCTATAACTATAAATACAGGAAGAGAAAAAAACACCAGGTAGGTCTAACAATGTCTTTTTACTTTCCATTTAACTGAGCTTTAAATCACAACTGCTGCATCATCTTTTGGTAATGAATTTACTATACACAATAAAACAATTACATAAACTGATTTAGGTTTCTGAAAGTGGAAAAACATTATATGGCACATTTCCTTTCTACTTCTTGTTTTTCAAATGAAAAACATTCAAGAACACCACAGCAATTAATTAATAAATGAGCAAAGCCAGTGCAAGACTTAAGAGTTTTAGCTTCAGGCTGAACCAGAACAGAAGTCATACAAAATAAAACAGGCATCGGCTTTAAAGGCACAATATGTAAGTTTCGCCGCTAGAGGGCGCGTATTCAAAATAAACAGAGGCAAAGTGCCGTGACTGGGTGTAGAATCATGGGAGTTGTGGTCTTCATCCCCACAGCCGAAGCAATCGGACAGGACTCGGGCAGAAATCATGTTCATGGATGAGCTAAAGAGTTATTAGCGTAGTAGAATGAAGCAGGGTGAGGCTGGAAGCCTTGAAGTGAAACGAGGCCGCTGAACGAGCGTGACACACGGCTCGAAAGCAGTGGAGCTGTTATTATGCCACAGTCGACCGCTTCCACTCCTTCCGGTCGTGCGTATGTGGGGTAAAGCAGCGCTGTTTTATCATACAAGATACATTTGAAAGTTCTGTTATAATGCTACTCTGTGCGGTCGTCACCTGTCTATTAAAACGCACAACATATTAAAGCGTCTTTGGTGTTTTCATATTTTCTACAAAACAAAACCGGAAACCGAGGGGTTCTGACGTCATTGGCAGGCGACACAATGACGCTATGGACACGGTCCGTGTCACTAGTTAAAATTGCTTATTTCTCTGGATTTAAGCATTCTTCGAAACATTTGGGATAACGCAAGTACACAAGTCAGCAAAATATATAACACCGTTCTAGTGGTTTTTGGATATTTTAATAAAACAATCTTACATATTGTGCCTTTAAACAACTCATACACACCACGAACTTTACATGAATGTTTATGAAGTCGCCATTTATTGTGTTAATACTGATACTGGCTCTATGGTTTGGGATAAAACACCTTGATGTGGATTGCGGAGTTATTCCGGGTGCGTGTCAGCGGCTCTCCCGCCTCGTCCGGATCCTCGGGCTCCAGATCATCTATGAGCTCTACGGTGGATGTGTTGGCCGCCAGCTGCAACGCACCCTGGCTGGACGTCTGAAGCTGCAGGGCGATGTTAATGGCCCGGTTGATGGCCAGTCCCAGACCGTGGATGCAGATTTCCCTATGAGCGTCCAGGAGTTTCTGACACCTCGCCAGCTGGGCCTTGAAGTCTGTTTTCATATTGACGTAGACGTCGTTCCGTCGTTTGGGCAGTTTGCGGGGCAGACGCTTGCGGAGGGTGTACTCCATCGGGTCCATCTCAAGGGTCGAGCCCTCCGGGGTGGGCAACACCATCGGATTGTGGGGTACAGATGCGGATACCGGGCTGCGTGGCTCGGCCATGTCAAATCACTGGAAAAGCACTGTACAAACAAAACAAGACATCCGTTAATGAACGTTTAATGATGATCTGGGTTTTTTTCAGCGAGGGAAAATGACACAGCAGACCTGTCCGCGCTCATAAATGTTCTAAATTGGCACTAAGGTTAGCAATTGAATACATTCATTATTTATGTTGGATTTTATACAATATTAATGATATTATGATCATATATCTAGGAGTACAAAATAGCTAAATTAATGGCGACTAATTCATGAGCGTTTTTGATTCACTTAAAAGAACCGGTTCATATTAGTGAATCGGTTCATGAATCGGACTATGTTATTGATTCACTAAAAAGAACCGACTCATATGAGTCATCGTTCGTGAAACGTTATATACTGGTCGCGCTGTATGCTCAAAGTCCCTTATTCTATTGTCTTTGGTATGGTTCACTCTATCGTTGCGGCGAAATAAGAAAAGAAGGAAAGGCTTAACTACTACTGCGTTCCGTTCAGGTAGCATTTTTCGTTGTCGAATTGTACTACCCACTGTTTTAATGGGAGGTAGCACAAATCGACAGACCACTGATATATTATGCATGGAAGTTGATGGAACCTGTTCTCGGTTGCTACGTCTATGTCATTACCGTCATTATCGACATGCTACATTAAGCATGAGTAGTACCTTGAAGTAGATGAGCTTGTTTTTCAGCTGCACTCTTAACTAGCTGGTAAATAAATGAATTCGCGTATTTGCAGGTTCGTCTTCTCTCCTCAAGTACCGGAAGACCTCTCACTTACACAGGAACTGATACTTAAGTTGCTCTGTTTGATTACATAATACATACTGCTCTTTTCTTCGATGAAACTTTTTTTTTTAATTTCGCATATTATATAATTATAAATTAAGTCAAATAAAATAAACTGTTTCTATGTGTCTAAGTTGCCAATTTGAAACTGAACATTGCTAAAATGTCGATTATTGCGCTTGGAGGGGCTTTTATTTTGAAGTTCAACCAGTTTAGAGGCGTAGTGTGTTTGGAGAGCACACTCACTGAACTTTATAAAATATCTGTCTTATTTGTCCGGTCTTTTAATTCACTGTTTATCTAGTTTCATTTAAGCCATGTCGGACACATGGAGCCACATCCAGGCGCACAAAAAGCAGCTGGATTCCCTGCGAGAGAGGCTGCAGAGGAGAAGAAAAGACACAAATCAACTGGGCATCGGTGTGTTGAGTAAATACATGCTGTGAGATCTGCAAAACTATTAACTGTACCTTAAATGGCATTTAAAATACTACCCAGATATGTAATGAGAGTCACCATTGCAAGCCATGTTGCTCATACAGTCAGCTTTATTTACTTGATATCTAATGCTGAATATTGAGACCACACAGGATACTGTCAGAAGTGTGGCATCATGATGCTGAAACTTTAAATGCATGCCAAAAGAAGAATGAATCCGGATTCAATCAGATTTTATTTTTGCAACAGTGAGTTTAGTGGGTCTGTGGTGCCAGCTACTATATTAGATCTTGTTTTTAACAGAGATTGGAGGTGTTGAGGGTGGATCCGTAAGGAGCGACAGCCCTGGACCGGCACTACAGAGTCCTCCGCAAGTGGAAGTTGAGCAGCCTCCAGACCCGGAACTAGAGAAGAGGCTGCTGGGATACCTGTCTGAACTGAGTCTTTCTCTGCCAATTGATTCCCTAGCCATCACCAACCAGTTAAACACAGTAAGACCTGTGTGCATGCTTGTGTACACAACCAGTCAAAAACCTGAACATGTACTCATTATTACTATTTCCTGCATTTTAGATAAAAAAAAAAAAAGTTTTTAAAACTGTGAAGTACATGGATAATGTGAATCATAAAAAAGCTTATTGTG